CCCAAAGCTCCTCATAACCAAGCATTGGAATATGTGTCACACCTGCAGTGCACGCACGATACATTGACTTTTCTCCGGTTAATTAAAACGATGAAGAAAGTGTTATCTTTTTTATTTTTAAGGTACAAATAATTTATTCACAAGTGCGTCGTGACGAATACTTATTACGACTTCGCGACGGTCTCTAACAACCCAGCTGCATCGATCTAGTGCACAAGAGTCTGGATACCTGCTCTTAGTTAGGAAGCAGCTGGTATTGATGGTAAAATCTGCAACGTGTGTGTATAGGTTGGTGCACAAAGTGCTGACTAATGATGGATTCTGTCACTACAATATTCCCATGGGATAATAGGAATAGACTTGTGCAGCATAAAAATAGAAATTATCATTAACAATCTACCAAAGCCAGAAACTTGTGTAATTCCATCCGCGATCGTATCAGTTTTCGAAAAGTGACTTGAAAACATATTCGATATTTGCTCTCTTTGGTGTGCCAGAGACCTTTGCATCTGACAATAGCCCGCAGTTCGAGTGTTGGAACGTTAATGAGTTTGCTAAGCAGTATGGCCTCCAATGATAAAATCTCGAGTCCAAGGCGCACATAAGGCAATTGAAAAGTAGAGACAATTAGGCGTTAGCCTCCAAAGCCTCTTGGCCATTTTTTTAGCTATACTAGCTAACAAGGCGATTCCTGACATTAGAGGGAAAAGACGAGCAGATATCATTATGGGCAGACGCCTTCAGATGCGTATACCCCCGTCTCAAAACTTCGCCTTCAGACTATTGCTTGCTCTAAATGCTGAGCTCCAGGGAAGAATATGCTGCGAAATATCAACGACTTCCACCCAGCGGCTTTTGGTCTGCGCTGAGCATCAGCACAGCGGCTGGTACGTCGCGCGCACAGCGAGCGTGCCGTCGGGGGGCGTTCGTCAGTTATTCGTCGCATAATTCGCTCCATGGAATTCAGCCTTAAAGCGTTGGCGACAAAGGAACTTCAAGAACAAACAGCGGAAGGGCTTTGACAGGCGACATGGCGCCAATATATTTTCTTGAGCGGAAGGCGGGAAGCGAAGTTTCTTTATCTGACAGTCAGAACAGTCAGCAGCAGCAGACATGAGAAGCCAAACAAAGGTCTTACTTGGTGGGGACCGACGGGGGGAAACTAAGTTGAAACCGCCGACGCTTAAAGCCACTGCCAGCCGAAGTTGATGACAAAAAACATCTACGATACACTTGGCAGTGAGTGTGCCGTGACATATGCACAGATGCTAGAAGCGACGTAAATAGGGGTTGGCAATGGCAGTTTCCTCTTTTTTTTTCGACGTTTTTGTATTTATTTCTAGCGAGACAGCAATTATTCAAGTTTTTTTTTCATACTATTGCGATTTAAAATGTTCTGATTTTTTTTTGTCTGTGATATCTGCTGTAGATTTTAGCAACCCTAGATAGCATTAAATCTTTCGTTTCCGTTTTTTTTTTGTTTGTTTTGTTTCTTTGTTTGGGAGCTAGCGATTAATTATGGGTATTTCTGCCTAGCGCTGTTCTGTCATGGGGCATGTGCAATTGTCATGTGAAAGGTGGCACTTCCGAAAGGAACTATGCGATTGGACGTAAAGATTAAAAACCCGAAATTGTAGTATATAAATGCCTTGTCAAAGTGCACGTACACTATTCAAAAAATGGTTAAGAAGGCACGTCCACTACAGACCAGGCAAATGTTGTCGTGTGCTCCACTCTGTGTGCTATACCTGTACAGAATAATTTTACCCAACCTCGGTGTAGGTCGATTCATCATTTCCCTCCTCCACACCGATTACGCTGCAAATTGGTGATCCGGACGCACGGGGCCGGGACCTGATGATCGACTTCGAGCACCTGTTATCCACGGAACCGTTCTCCGCGATCGGTGAGACATGAACGTCTCTGCGTTTTTGGGCGATTAAGCGGTAGACGCATCTTCCACTATTAAGGCCTCTGCATCCGGAGCCTCTGCCCCGTTGCTTCTGCTATCGGTATCTCACACCGGCGGGCAGCAACACCTCGCTCACCCCGCCGGCTCGGCAAGTGATGGTCGACATATGCACTAATGTCACAGTCCCTGAAGTCGCTCTGGAAACTGTGTTTATTTCTGCGGCGTGGTGCTGGACTGGAACGGTCGTGCGCTGCCACAACTAGTGGAGCGTGTCACACAGCGCCACCCTGGGGCATGGCAATCGCGGCATACCACACTGTTTTCTACATGACACGTCGCTGGCCGACCAGGGCCTCTTCATCGCTGCTAGCTCAGGCATCTCTTCTCCACTCGGTGCATCACCTCCGCGGATGACGCTGCATCGGTCACGCAGCTTGCCGCCATCTCATGCTCCTGGCGCCCGAGTTGCGATAGAGCCCACTAAATTTCGGATCCCCGTACGACCGGATCGTTGTTCCAGGTCCCGATGTCTGCTATCGTCACTAAACCTTACTTCGGTGCCAATTATCCTGCACGGTATTTAAGCCCTGCCTTTCTTGCTCTTTGCCACGTCCTCCTGCTAGAAGAGCACATACCCAGCAACATAACCGCTCTCTTTAGCCGCAACCGCTCTTGCAACAAAATCGCTTCAATCTCCACCGTGACAATGAAGTGGCTGATTAAATTGAGCAAACCGTATTTGGCGGTTGTACGTGTCAAACTAACAATGGTCATCTGCCCTCGCAAAGAAGGTCTCAGATTAATTCTGGTCATCTTGGAATTGTTTGCCGGCCACGAAAAACAAAGTTGTAGAAGTGTTGTAAGTTGGGCGAGTTGGTATGATGACATGATGAACAGAAGAGCACACACAAAGACAAGGACAGAGAAAAGGAACATGCAGGACACAATAATTCGCAGCACAACAAAGTTGTCCTGCGAATTATTCGCTATATACCTTTTTTGTGTACTCTCGTACTCAGCCACCAAATAGGCGTATCTGGTACGGGCGACGAAAAAATAATAAAACGTTGCAACCTGTAACCAGTAAAAAAGATTGAGGGGAGTCAAAACGAGATTGTGTGACGGTTAGCTGACATTCTAAATATCTTCTATTAGCGTGGCGACGGCAAAACAATATTCTCGCCAATACAGGAAGTGACGACAATTGAAGATGGCGGCGCCCTTGTGAAAAAAAGATCTATAGGCTCCTTGCACAGGACGTCACTTCCGTTGCCCTCCAAAGAAGAGGGGAAGAAGGAGCTCTCCTCTTATCAGGATCCTCCTTTGTGCCTCCCGGATTTGTACAGGCGTCGCTATTCTCCCCCCAGAAGATTATAGAAGATTAACCCGTCACTCAAAATTCTTACAAAAGCAGCTTCCCTCTCCTCCTCTTACTTGGTGTTCAAAAGTGTGCGATGTGACGTCAGTGCAAGAAGCCTATAAGCCTCTATCAGATTGTGTGTTTTTCGGCCACGATAATTACACCGAACAACTTTCTAGGTTCGAAATGTTGCCGCATAGATGTAATTAAAGGGGCGGTGCTGCGAAATTACCTTGGAAGGGTTTTCGCTTTACACGAGCTTACTGGCACTAGTGGGATCCAAGTGTACTCACATGCAACGCTACTGACTAAGAAACTCCTTTGTTGCGGTGTAATTTCACGGACAAAAGCGAGTGTATGCTTTTAATCTCTACTTTGCAAAACTAGATGACGTAGCCTGGGGTTTCGCAGGATGCCCCAGGGACGAAATTTGAATGCCGCTCATAGATAGGATTTCAGCATTGCGTGAACAGTCGATTCGGGCTCGTGATAATCAATAGCTCGGCAAGTATTCGAGTAGCAACCGATGTAATCGTCCGTGCTCAGTCGCTGATGTGACGACAATGGCCGATCCTAACAATGTCTGTAACTCAGCGCGTGCCTTGTGCTTTGCTAACCCTAGCGCATGGCCATGACTAACATTGGCGCCATATTTTTGGCTCGACACCACGTGGCCGCTTGTTCTGGCTGCGAATTGAGGGGATAAACGCTGTCTGTTCTTTTTTTTTTTTTTTTTTTTTTTGTTTTAGACTTTTTTTGCGTAGCGTGAAAATTGAACGCGTCTTTTATTGGCGACGTGAGCGATCGAAAGCATCGCTGTGATCGGCCAACCACAATTGATCGAATGCTGACTATAACGTCTGCAAAGGATACCAAATCGACTCATTTAAGAGCAATGTAAGAACTTCAATTTTGACGGTGTGGGCAGTGTTACTTTGAGAGCGCTATGATTTCAGGCTTTCACAATGCTCATTACAGACACCATTGAACTTGTTTTTCACAAGGTAATCATGTCACGAATGGTAAACAAACGAGGGCGCCACTGAAACATCTCGCCGCTAATAGGGCAGTAACGACAAAAACTTGGTCTAAGTGCTATTCGCGCAAAGTACACAAATCGTTGCATCCCCCTTTTAAAGGCTCCATGAAACGATTTTCCTACTTATTCCTCCTTAGCTTAAAGAAATTTTAAGAGGTTTTAACAAGTCTCGTCTCTCTCGGTCGTGCTCGGTTGCAAGAGTGTGAACGAGCCTTAATAGGAAAGTGCAGAAACGCGACAAGCGTTATAACGATGAAATCGTGATGGTGCTTAATTGGCTCAATGGGCTCGTGGCGTCCGTTGTGGTCGGGCTAAAATGACACAGAATATGGGCTTTTTCAAGGAGGATTGTGGAAAAAGAAACAATAGGCAATTCTTCTCAATATATTTTTTCAGTACAAATAGTTTATTTCGCGTTCTGCCTTAACTAAGGATGTACTTTCCAAAAGTTTTTATCGTACGGTGTGAATGAAGTATGTACAATGCAATGTTGATTACACAGCCCGATCTAAACAGAAGAAACTGGTAGCAACGTTTATTTACTGAGGCGAAAAAAAAAACGGGTGAGCCAAGGCTAGGATATTGCACATTGATGGAGAGAACTGTATTGACCCCCATGGCACATAAAACAAGAAAAGAAAAACGCAAAAGAATGTGTTACACTTTTCTCTGTTCAACTCTTGCTGGTATTATGCGGCAGAGTCTTTTTCAAGAAGGGGCTGACCTAGTACGATATTGCGCCTCATGGGACCTTCATTGAGTGGTTCTTCCATGGATTGTTTCTGGAAAGCAAAACCTTGCTGAAATTCCGACTTGCACGTACACACACTTTCAGCGAGAATGGGTTGTGTGGCAAAGGTAATCATTACACTATCTCAGCTCTGTTACAAAGGCTTATCACTATCTACGTAAAACTAGCCGCTTCTAATTCGCCTAAAGTATGATATAATTTCTAAGTCAACACTAAAGTTATTCTTTCCGCTTACAATACTGCAGAAGCGTGCCACAAGACATCATATTTTGTGAGATTTAATTTTAAATTAGATCGGAATATAAATATATTCTACATTAAATTAATTTACATTAAAAGAAATTTTTGTGTATTTCATAACTTCGCAGGATAAATTTGCGTCTAGGAGAAGAACCGATTTATTGATAGAAAGTAGTAATCCACATGTATAATGACAATAATTACCTCAATATCACAAGGAAGGAGATTCAGTTTACTCCACAGTCGAAGGAAAATGTGGCTTGTCAGGTGGATATTGTGCTTCCACGTTTTTGCCCCACCTGAAGGGCAAAATGTGTCATGTTATTCGCTTGTGCCTCTTTCCCCTACAATATCCTGGGTTCCAATCAACCTCACGGACTTCCGATGTAACAAGCCGCCGGTGGCCAGTGCTTCTGCAACTTAGCTACTTATGAAACACTGCCATGTCGCAAGCAATGATAAGAACTCAAGCCAGGAAATGCCCGCTTCATGTACTGCGGAACAACAAGCCAAAACTAGGCCTTTATATACAAACCTGGGTCCCAATGATTTCAGCAACAACAGAAAGAGCGTGGCGGCCTCGCTGAACGATCCCACAATTTGATTGATTTTATTAAGTGAAACATGACTTTGTTTACACAATAAATGTACAATATTATCAGCATATTAAGTAGGCTCTAGATACTGACAGTGTAAAAATTAAAGCCGTTTACAGCTCCCTGTAACCCCGAATAAGAGCGCAGCTCTTGAGGTGGAGGAGGGAAGGGTACTGAGGGGAAGGTAGACTCCACCTCCCTCCTACTCATCTCCTCCTCCTGTCTGCTACTCCTCCTTCCGATCGGCGTCGCCGTCGCCTCACGAGGGTCAGGCGGCCCCTTTGAGGTCACGTGACGTCACCGGGGTCATGTAAAATCACTGGGGTCACGTGTCCCCTGTGAGGTCACGTGACGATGACGATGATGTCATCGTCATCGTGATGACATCATTTGTTACATCATGTGTGGTACGCACGCTGATGACGTCACCGATGACGATGACAATGACGTCATCACAATGACGTCACACGTGACGTCACTGATAAGGTCATCACAATGACGATGACGTAAGAGTGCGTGCATGTCACGTGTGCGTAGACATTCGATAACTCTTCACCATCTCGTGCACCTGGAGCGACCACGAGCGGCTAATGCACGGCGGAAGGCGTAGAGCGCGATCTAAAACCCCCGCGTTCGGAATACACAAACTGCCGTTTTCACTATGTCAGTAGCTATTGTAAAATATTCGTATGAGGATTTACATTTCTTTGCGCGGCATGACGCTTTTAGTGCCTCTATGTTAACTCTATAGCGAGGAAATTGACCGATTAAGCTACAGATTAGTCCATTAAGGATTTAATTGCGACTAAGTTTTTCTTTAACTGGTTGATCGGTTAAACTTAGACTAAAAATAGTAAGTACAAAAAAAAAAAAAAACCTTTCCCCACGCAGACGTGGACAAGTACACCTGTATGAAGGTAAGCTTTATGTGAAATTTTGACCTTCAGTAAACTGTATAGGGGCGAGATTTGTGACTCCAAACCACTGGAGAATGTTATGCTTGTCCCGGCCACTTCAACGCTGTGCGAGTGTCAGTTTAGCGAAGCAAATTCAGTTGTGAACAAACGAGAGAGGTCGCTATCACCGAATAATACCAAAGAACGACACTCTTTCAGCGGCTGAAGTAATAATTTGTGAGTGTGGCTGTCTTTTGACTGTGGTCAACTACACTTCAAGGTTGATCTAAAATTCAAAATTGTAAATTGCGCCATTTCTCGCATCTTAAAAAAAAAGTAATATTGACTTTGTTTAGTCTATTATGCATGTGAATGAACTGGCCATTATTCGAGTCGAAAATGTAATTTGACGTATTTACACACGCTACAGCACACTACTGCAAATGTCCACTCACACGGTACACTCACTGCTTACACACGAAAAAGAAAGGAAAATTCAGACGAACCCCCACTGACTTACTAGTCATTTTTATAAACTTTGTCTTCTACATTTGGAACTACCAACTACCGAATTTCCCGAATCACGCGCACCTATCTCCTAGACGTCAAGAAAATTTGTTCTTCTTCTGTCAGGTTCAAAGATGACGTTTCACAATTCCTGGCGGTATGTGCGTCTAGGAGATATGTGCGCGCGATTCGGAAAATTCGGTAGTTCTAGACGTAGAAGACAAAGTATACAAAAAGAGCTATAAGTCAGCGCGGTTCCTCTGCTTGACTACGAGTGTACCGTGTGAGTGTACATTTGCAGCAGTGTGCTGCAGTGTGTGTAAATATGAGCAACGAACTCGATTAAGCTGTCGGTACATATGACCCCAGCCCTGATTATATGTACCGACAGACATTCAATCAAGGTCCTCAAGCGGAAGCATAGAAAGTGTTGCGAAAGTCTCTAATCTTCCAATTTAAATGTGGGCCATTTTTTTAATTTGTAATGGCTTTACAAGCAGTCTTTATTATTATTTGTTTCACGGCAAAGAAAAGGCACATATATTGTTGAATCCCTGCCCGCCGCTCTGAATTGAATTGACTGTCAGAAAGGCAATGCGGGCCTGGCAGCAATGGTCGACACGCTCCAAGGTCTTAGATTTAGTAATATTCCTAGAGCAGTATGTCATCCTCAACTCTGAACGGTAAAAAGATATATATGCTATATCTTTTTTTTCTTCTTTTAAATCATGATTCCGCACTAGAAGTATTTTTTGTCTACGACGCACCTATATCGATTTCGGTAAACCTTTAGAAACGGAGCTCCAGGAGTAGAGTAGCATCGGACAGATGGTAGAAAGCCAATTGCTATAATGCAAAGATGGAGCAAAGCGCTCACCGCAGGTAAAACTTGTTTCGGCCGATGAATAAAAAATACGGTTTGGACCAAGTCCTGGGCATACACCCTTCAAAACGATGTTGTCTGTCTGAAGCAGTATAGTATTTTCATGCCAAATAATATTGTCGTTTTATTAGCTGCTGACCTGTGTCTCTGTACTCACTGACATCTTGACAAAGGCGGATGACATATTATAGTCCCGCCATTCACTTTCTGATTCATTCTTCGTCTATTATAATACAGTTATATCACTCTCGGCGGAGCGATCAGACGATCAGGACACTCCAAGCCCTGTGTTTTTAAATGCGATAAAATAAACCGGAATGGTGTAAATCTTTCTTGACTGGGTGGCGGGATCTACAGCCCAAAGCATCAATTTCAATACCACCTATTTATTCATTCATCGCATGATAGAAGATATACGCTAGCTGGGAGGCGCCCTGGTCGTCATCACATTGCCTCGTGAAAAAGGAACGGACTAAAGAGGTACGTAAAGGATGAACGTGTTGTTAAGGGTGCTGAATATGAGGAAGGGACAAACGGAGAGACAGCAACGACAACGACAATGGAAGTTGTCGTTCGTCGTTGTTGTTTGTTCTTTTGTCCCTTCCCCATATTCAGGACTAAAAAGAGCGTCGCTGAACGGAAGCAGCGTTCCACTGAGCATTATTATCATCGTCGTGCCAATGAGACGTTGGAAAATATTTAAAAGCGTTAGGCTGGAGATATAGACGCAATCTGGGCTCGTTCTGGTACGACTAAGTGCTGAGTTCGAGAACGAGGTTCGTCTCAAAATAATCAGGGTATGTTCGTTATAGAATAAGTAGTACGCAGCGAAGCACTTCAGATATATGGCCTTGTTTTTATGCTGTCGATGGCTGTTTCTTCATATATTTGACTTGTACGTGTTCCGCGAGAAGTCGGCGCATATATATTTTGAAGTTTCAACTTTAATTACATTTTATAGCATAAGGTTGTGCTAGCGAATGATCATTTCAAAGGTGGGCAATTACCGAAAAAAATGTAATGTTGAACGTTATCTACCCTAAGGATGACGAGTGTTTCATCTGAGATTGTGTTGTGAAAAAAAAAACTCAGGCGGTCTTTTTGCTACCCCATTTTTCCAGATTTGCGAAACACTCATGGTTGATTCTTCCCAGAATATCTCAGTTTAAACTTGCTGTTGCGAAAACAGCAACTGAAGGTTATGCCGAAAACAAACATTAATATTCTCCTGTACACTTCAGTGGGGTAACGTCACAAGTTGGGTATCTTACCTGTTGAGTAGGCAACAAAAAATATCGTTTTGCGGGTTTTGTTTTTGTTTTGCTCGCGTGAGCACTTTTAGCATTTTTTTATAAATTATAAAAAGTCATGGAACCCGCCGGGCACATGCTGAGTTTCACTCATATTATTATATTTGGTATTAGATGCCAGTGTTGACAATGGAGCCACTCAGCCACTAAGACCAAAATAAATATTTCAAGATTACCGAGAAAAAAAAAACATGTTATGAAGTGTAATTTTGGTTACTAGTTTCTTTGTGTATATTATTGCGCTGAACCTATTTGGGGTAAATCAGAGCCTTTCCAAACGGGGCCTTTGGCTCCCTTTTAACATTCACTTCCCGTGCAGAAGTCAAGATGGGAAGACGTCAAGACACAACGTGCAAGTTGGGACACTCTTGTGGATAGAATCAGCTCGGCATATATAAAGGCAAGGGACCTGAGAGAAATAGTGCAGTGATCGCCTATTTTTCTCAGTTTTTTTTTATTCTTACTTTATATATGTTTAATATTTTTTTTTTTTTTACTAAAAGACAAGACTTGTAGCTAGTCTCCGCTCGGTGTGAAGATTATGTTCTTGACCAGCACGCCTGAACACTTTCGCTTGTTAAAAACCATGTTGTATCCCAGCCAGTTTGCCCCGATATTTTCCTTCTTTATGTCAAGTTTTCTTTTTGTTGCTTTCCTAAGAACCATTACAAGCCGTCTTAAACTTAAATTCGCGAGCATACGTTTTTGTAAACGCCGTGTCTAAAGGTACGTCGGACGCATCCAGAACGCGGAGTCTAAAGGTTCGTGTGACGTACCTGGAATGTCGAGCCTAGAGATACATCGGACATATTGTAAGCACCCCAATTTTTTACAAGAAATTAGAGATCGGAGACATGCGATGTCTGCTCTGCATCAAGGCTGAGCGTCCGAAACTTCGCTTGTTTGCTTTCCCCTTCTTTTTGCGCCTCTTATCCACGCCTTTAGTTTTGTGCCGCCTCTACGTACCCGCAGCACACCGCATTTTAGACTCTAGCACTCGGTTTCGTCGAAAGTTGGTAGATGGCGGCACACAACGGCACTTGCGCTACCGCACAGACGCGTTAAGGCCCATACGCACATTCGCGTTTGAACGCGTTTGAGTGCGTTGCGGAGTCCTTGCGGCCAGGCGCGGTTGCTTGCGGAGCGACGCACGCCTCCCCGCAACGCTCGGTAGCGCGACGCAAGCGAGTAGAGACTTGTTCAACTTTCCGAAGCGTTGCGGCGCGTTCGGGTGCGTTCGACCAATCAGAAGCCGAAAGAGGAGAGGGGGTGACGTGTTCGCTCGCCCCACCCGGCCGACTCGGCGAGACGTATCCGGTTCGCCGGCCACAGTGCTTGCTTTTTCGTTTTGGGGAGCGGTGGTGACTGTATTTTCCAAGGCTGCGATGGTTCAAGCCTGACAAAACGTCGGGGAAGCCGGCGAGATTGTCCCAAGATCGAACACTTCGACGATGTCGCTGTGCACCGCCATGTTGCCTTGGATTTCGCTTACTATTGGTGAGCCACTAGCGACGATAGCGCGTTCTTATTGGCTCTTGACTGCGGCTGACTGCGTGTCAACGCAACTGTGCGTACAAGTTAGGCGCAAGCGGTCTTCGCAACGCAACGCGTCCGCTTGCCGCTACGGAACGCACCGCGCTCAAACGCGAATGTGTGTATGGGCCTTTAGAATATAGGCACAAGTAAGGCGTTGTGTGTTCTGTTTCAGTTCCGTCGCCTTTCGTTCACTCTGTCGTCTGACTTGCAAACGCGCCGTCTTTTTTTTTTTTCTTTTTTTTTGCGTGGTTTAGGTTATTTCTTTAGGCGTTCAGAACTTTGCTGTCCACTATGAGTGCGAAGAGAACTGCGTACACAGTGAAGTTAGAGCGAACGGTGATCACGTACGCGCAAGAAAAGGGGAACCACGGCACTGCAGAGCCTTCTGCGATACCGTGTGATGCGCTGGAGAAGACGGCAGGAGTAGGTATACAAGGGCACCGCGACCCGTAAAAAAGTGTACGGGACCACGCAATAATGCAAGACACGACATCTGGAATTCGAGAAAAAAATCCGTGAGTTTGTATCTAGCTAGCTGGACGGGGCCACCGAGGACTCGTCGAGTCGTAGTGAAAGCAACTGATTGGCCGTCTGCGCGGTGAGAATTGAAGGCGAGCGGACTCATTTTCTTCATGGTTGGTAATATTTTTTCTGTGGATTTTATCTCAAGAATTTTCTATAATAAATTTATATTTCTTGCAGAATTTTTTTTTTTTAATTTCGGAGCATTTCCCGAATGTAAACACCCACACCTTCCTTAGTGAAAATCGCGGGTGTGAAAGGAAAGGAGTGTTTAGAATGAACTAATTACGGTAGCAGTGAGAAATAAAAATGGAATGAAACTTGCCACTGGGTCCCAGTAAGGCAGGCTATGACCCGCTGTGATACGACCCTTCCCCATCGCGGCTGCGTCCGACGTATCTCCCGGTTCCACCCACATCCGACATGTGTCTTAAAGGCTCCTCGTTCCGGATACGTCCGACGTACCTTTAAGGCCCGTTCACACTCTTGAGACCGAGTAAGACTGAGAGAGACCAAACCGGTTTCTAAGCCTTCTGCGACTTATTAGGACCAGCTCTGCTGCAGAGCATCCGCTCCTAAGACGTCGCAAGAGGCTTAAAAACCGGTCTGGTCTCTCTCGGTCTTACTCGGTCGCATATATGTAAACGGCGCTTTAGACCTCTCGTTTCGAATACGTCCAACGTAGCTTCAGGCTCCTAGTTCGAGGCAAGTCCGACGTACCTTTAGGCTCCGCGTTCCGGATACGTCCGACGTAGCCTTAGACAGAGCGCTTTATAAAACCACAGTAAAGAATTTTACGCGAGTTACAGACTGACTTTGTTTAGCCAATTAGAAGCCATTTGACAGGTATTCTGGACGGGAATATCTAAGCAACGTTAACCACATAATGTGACTTCTCACTGCGCGGACAATATTTAAGAAGTATAAAGAAATAAAGATGTTGTAGACAGACCAGCTTTGAAGTTGGAGCATAAATAATTTCTCCTTATGCGTTCATTAGCCTGCTAATTGACACTGGTTCTTCTCTTTATGTTTTTTAGAACTCAACTTGGGAACTTATCAATAATTGAATGTTATGAATAATATCAGCCTAATTTGGATGACAACGCTTCGGCAGAATAAACCTCCCCTCGGCTATATACTTACCAGCATTGTGCTTATATGAAACGTTCGGGCAGGCAGAGGACTCGTCTCCTGTCATAGAATTTGCCGGCAGTTTTATACATTCGCTTTTTAAGCGAACTCCTGTACGAAGGCTTGTTTTATAGCGCAGCTCTTAGGCGCCCGTTTCCGGCTTGAGCAGCGTCGGCGTCGCCGTCGGCGTAACTGCGCGGTGCATTCTGGGTAAATTTCCCCTCTAAATTTAGCGGAAAATTTTCCCATATATGGGAGGCGAGCAGGAGAGGAGGAGGGGCATAGCTTCCCCTCATATCCTCCCCCCCTCCTCCTCAAAAGCTGCGCTGTAATTCGGCATTACAGGGAGTTTTAAAAGGCATTCATTTTTTTCTTTTATCTTCAACGAGCAGGATATTGTAAAAACGGTACGTTGGGACAGGGTTATAATGATTAGACCACCGTTTTTTGGGGGGCACGTCCAAAGTTTAGTCATTAGTGCAGATCCTGCAGCTAGGCTGTGTGTTTCGTCTTGATTATCGTTCGACTAAAGTTATGTTTTACGTTCTAGCTCTCAGCCAAATGCAGAGTTCTTACCAGTGAGCAAGCTGATCAACATCCCAAGAAGAACTGTAAAGGCCGTCGTCGCTAGGACGCTCCAGTTCGAAGACATCTGATAGAGTGGAAATATGTCCCGTCTGAAACAATTATTGATAAGTGCATCGATCAATACTCAACCTTATTCTGGCACGCTGTTTCAGGGCGAGTAGTCTCATAGAGTGATAGTTCATAGAACTGAGCGCATAACATCATATGGTGAGTTAAATTTGGGCTTAACGGCACCCACTACTAGTTATGCATCGACCACCTTCTGATGTTGCGTCATTAGAAGTACTGCTAATTTATTTTGTAATCTGGGTTTCCTAATCGGCGAAAAACATATTTAACGGGAGCTGATTGACAGTCTGAGTTTGAAATTGCGACAGCCCTGGGATCGGCTTTTATTAATTATTCGCCTATTCTTCTACTCTGTTTTTTTTTTAACTTTGACTTTTGGTATTCATTGTATTGCACCTGGTGTGTAAATATTAGCGCGTAGATATAGTTTCTGACTGCTTTGTAGAACTCTAAGACATAATTTATAAAAGCGGAGAAATATAAGTGTAGTAAATGCTTCAACGTAATTAAAACTATTTGTTTCCTTCATTTACAGAGAATTGGGTTTTTTATGCTGTGACAATTTTGCCCTTTCATTATTCACTGGGTACTATAAGGTTCAATTATATTGCAGTCTAAATGTCAGAATAAAGGTACAGGGGTACACGCTTCTAGTTTATGTCCGCCATTTACGCCAAGCATTCAATGAGCCGAATACATACCTGGGAATTGACCCGTCGAACAGGGTTGAATTCTGGATCTGCTTACTGGCGTATGTGAAGTTTTTAGGACAATAGTCAAGCGTAACCTTCATCCGCGGAGCATGAACATTATAGGCAAGTTTTCCGAACATCTGCCAGAACTGTACGGCCGTCGTTAGTATTGTAGCCATGACAACTCCCTAAAATAAAAAAAACAGCAATAAAAAACATTAGGCACACCTGCGTGTGAGGAAGTAAGGATCTACTCGGGGACGGCGCAAGCTGAAACGACCGAGCCATGACCAAAAGGTACCGGTAGCGTTTCCCCGGCAAGAGAAGCTGAACTAACAAGGAGAAGTAACATGCAAAGGGGATAGCAGTGGCATTTCAGCTGATTGAGTCTGATCGTGTTTAAAAACTGCACGCCGTTTCTGTGGCCGTGCCGCTAAGGGGCTTGTTCAGTTTTCTTATATTTACAGTCACTCTTGCTTGTGTAAACATCGGAGAAATAATTTTATTGGCGCAGAGACCACGCACTCAGATAACGAAAACGATGACAAGAGTGAATAAGCGGTACCATGAGGTACAGGCGAGTCACATCGAAGTACTCCTAAAAATGGAAAGGAACAGGCTGAGTCGGAGAGCAAAGGTCTTGGCAGCCTTCACCGCATGCCATCTGTCGCTGCTTGTTCAACTTCTCGCGTCGAGACAGCGCCACCGGTACCTTTCAGCCAAGGCTATAGGTTGGTTCAGCTTGCATAGTCCACGACTATAAAATGTTCTAAACTGGAGTCGCATGGTTTATAGCAAGCTGGAACACAGGTTGTTGAAACTCGTGGAAGTAGAGCTTAACTTGGGTCTACAGTTCTAACTTTAAGTACGCTCAGCTCACCTTGCCGTTCGTCCATGGAAACGCCAGTGCTAATAAAAACATTCCTACAAAAGGACCAGACGCTCCGTTGTGAACCACCATGATTATCTGAAAAAAAAAGAAAATTCTTAAATTATGAAAGAAGATTGTGTTTATCACTTGAATCTTATTTGAGCATTCAAAACTTTGTTCCTGATAGGGCAAAGCACATCAAATGAGTATATTTTCGCACAATCTACCAAGCTCAAAAATTGCTGGTTCGAGAGGCTTTGGTAGTCTTCACGATGGCGTCGCAAGAGCTGGCCAGAGCAATTCGCTTAAAGGGACACTGACAGCCCCCAAACAATTTTTTTTTTTGCCAGGCGCTTTATTATGGTGTCGGAGGACTACCCAATTGATATTTTGCAACAAAGTAGGGCATATTTTTAATAAAGTCAAAAGACACAACTGCTCGAAACCGAAACTGAAACCCGCGCATGGAGGTCGGAGAAGTGGAGAGAGTGAGTGGCGGAAGTCACGTGGCTACACCCGACCGTGCACTTTTTAGAGCGCAGCTCTTAGGGGCCCGTTTCCGGCTTGAGCGGCGTCGCCGTCGCCGTCAGCGTAACCGCACGGTGCATTATGGGTAAATTTCCCCGCTAAATCTAGCGTAAAAATTTCGCCGCTAGATTTAGCGGAAAAATTTATCCGCTAAATCTAGCGTAAAAATTTTCCCCGCTAGATTTAGCGGAAAACATTCGCCGCTAAATCTAGCGGAAAAATTTCTCCGCTAAATCTAGCGGAAAAATCTAGCGGGAACAATTCCCCGCTAAATCTAGCGGAAAAATTTCCCCGCTAAATCTAGCGGAAAATAGTTCCCGTTAAATCTAGCGGAAAAATTTCCCCGCTAAATCTGGCGGAAAAATTTCCCCGCTAAATCTAGCGGAAAAATTTCCCCGCTAGATTTAGCGGAAAAATTTCCCCGCTAAATCTAGCGGAAAAATTTTCCCCGCTAGATTTAGCGGAAAAAATTCTAGCGGAAAATTTTTCCCGCTAAATCTAGCGGAAAAATTTCTCCGCTAAATCTAGCCGAAAAATTTCTCCGTTAAATTTAGCGGAAAAATTTCTCCGCTAAATCTAGCAGAAAAAAATTCCGCGCTAAATCTAGCGGAAAAATTTCCCCGCTAGATTTAGCGGAAAAATTCCCCGCTAAGTCTAGCAGAAAAATTTTCCCGTTAAACCTAGCGGAAAAATTTCCCCGCTAAATCTAGCGGAAAAAATTGCCCGCTAAATCTAGCGGAAAACGTTTTCTGGGGGGCTCCTCAAGAGCTGCGCTCCAATTCGGTGTTACAGGGAGTGTTAAACGGCTTTCATTTTTTTTTTTTCTCCTTTTCCCCTCTGCGTAGCAGACGACATGCGTGGTGGCGTAGCGGGAACTGTTTGCCAGGCGATTTCTTTGCAGTTATGTTTGTTCCGCTCGCTGTTCTGCACTTCAAGATGAGTTGTTTTCGTCGTTGAGGAGTTGGCGATGAGTTGTAATTTCCGTGATCGGCTCCGAAAAGAATACACCCAAGATGCTGCGTGAAGAGCTGGCTCACATGTCGTGCGTCCGAAAAAAAAGTGGCATTGTGCGACAGAGTTTCCGAAAGATCAACGGGATCTGGACCAATGGCTGGCTGCAATCCCCGTGGAAAATTTACGAGCACCTCGGAAAGTGACGCTACCTAATTTAGGTGGTCCTTGCATTTTGTGGGGAGGGATTACATTGAGCTCGCAGGTGTCAAAAAGGAAATCCCATACCATTTAGTTCAGCGACATTTTGTCCATAACATTTTTTATTTTTTTTATTTTTTTGTTTGTTTCTTCAGTAATAATTGTAAAACATGAATGCAAATATCGCAACATGTCTGAAAAAGAAAAAAAAAGTACGGCTTTAATGGGGCGATCCCCATTAAAACCGTACTTTTTTTTCTGCCGCAGTCCTGTCGCATGTGAAGCAGACGTCCCTCCACTGAGCTACTGGGGGAACTCCAGCTTCAATACTAATACAGTCGATAAACTATAAGTTGTAAAGTTTGCTGCCGATTTTCCTCCAGCAAAAGCACCCCCGGGTCGAAGTCGAAGCACCACGCATTTGCGACATTCGCACCTAGTAAATATGCCGTACGCGTGCATATTCAACTCGAAATACACACTTCGTGCGGTGCTTGACGTTCGCGCGAGCGATGTCTTCAGCCACCAGAAGGGAGCGACGGCTCGACGACGTCTTCGTGCAAATCGGCTTGGTAGCCGGGCGTGTCGTACGCGATGAATACCCATTCTTTTGATCAGTCCCAAATTTCTCTTTTAAAGGCAGACAGAATTCGCCGGTACCGCGAACGACAGTTCTGAAATAGAGGTCCCACGCCCGTCGTCCGCTGCCATCGCCGTCCCCGCGAGTCCCACGATACGCGAAACGACGTACGCACAGAATGCTTCCGGTTCTCTGTGGAATTTTTCTTTTCATCAACGTATTTGCAGCTTTCTAGAAGCCACAAAAAATTGTTTTCATATTTTTTTTTTTTATATTTTTAATGTTGACTGTGTGCCTTCAGTGACCAACGACTTTGATTAAATTTGGTGGTCGTGTTAAAATCTTTGAGAACGGCTTGTGACTACGGAAAAGTGAGTGAGCGAGACTCGAACCGGCCAGTTCTTGATCGGCGGTTTTCGGACGGAAAGAAACCGAATTTTGAGCCACAAATTATGTTCTGGGTAGTTGGGCTCTGATATGTCATGTACAACTAAAAACCCCGGCGAGCATAAATACCCTGTCAGTGTCCCTTTAAGAAACACCTCCCAGCAAACGCGGTTTTTCACAATGGAGAAAAACATGTGTTCCTACGTATAGGTTTTAATCTCAGATTACGAGGAATGAAAAATTATTTAAAAATTTACCCGACTCCTTTGGACAAAAAAGGGGTTGTGCCCATGTACCAGATTTTATGTAGTGACTGACACCACTAGTTACATGAGTGAGAGGTGCCATAGCCCAACCTAAGCGCTACCGCGTGGCATAAGCGATCAGGTTGAGTGGGGACATGGCCTTCTGTGATCTATTTTTGTTTGGTATTATTTTGCGTCAAACACTATTTTGGTTTCTGCCTTCAAACTTCTTCGTGTTGCAACTGAGTAAATTATGTTATAAGGAGTTACATTTCTGTCTTTTGGAACTTTCAGTAGAGTAACACCTTGTGTAATTCTTCTACCCCACTTCCTATTTGTGCATTTTTTCTTACGTACTTCATACTATACTTCGTCTCATCCTGCAATGAACTAAAGGCGAAAGCTACGGACTGCCAGATCCAATCACGAGCTACTTAGAAATTGTGCGGTATTTCGCTTCGATGCACGCATCGGTGCCGGCGTTTGGGATCACTGATAAGGCTGATAAGGGGACGGGTGGACAGTGCTTCGAATCGTGGAGCACTGAGTGACTCAACAATTTTACATTGCAATGGAAGCCACAAAATATAGGCTTTTTGCAGGGTTGAAGCTATAGAGATGATGCCGCGCTCTTGGAATCGAGCATTACTCGCCCACTCCTAATCAATATTAAGCGTGTTATAGTATAGCGTGGAACGTGATTGGACCTCGCGGTCCGTGGCTTTGGCCTTTAGTCCATCGTAGGATGAGACAAAGTATGATTCTTTTAATCTATAGCCATTTGCACGTCCCATGTCTCTCTGTGACGCATTCAACGCTTCATGTTTGGTATATTTTTAGGCTACTCCCGTATCTGAAGCAGTAGACAAGGCTAGACACGTTTGTTAAGTTGTGGGAAAGGTATTGATATAAATGATAATTTTGTCACTCTAAAAAGCTATGTGCCGGAAATACGATTCGAAACAGACATCACTTGAAAAAACATTAAGAAATCAGCAAACAATACTTTAAAGGGATACTGAACCAAGGAATTTAGTGTCCATAATAAGTGGCGCACGTTCTTTCTACGAGCCAGCAGCCGCCGGTGTGCGCGAGCACACGAAACAAAAATGGCGTCACAGACCTCCATTCGCGGTTGAGATGACAGTGAAATGCGTGGGCTTTGGACTAAAGGAGAATAAAGACAAGTTTTTCATCTACACAGTCGTCTCTGGTGTAAAAGGTAAGCGGTTAATTTTTCTAGCGAGCACGTAGCTTTCACATGTGGAGATGAAAAGCCTGCCTTTATTCTCCTTTGGCCCGAAGCCCACGCATTTCACTGTCCTCTTAAGCGCGAATGGAGGCCTGTGACGTGATTTTCGTTCCGTGTGCTCGCGCACACCGGCGGCTGCTGGCTCGTGGAAAGAATGTGCGCCTCTTATTATAGGCACTAAATTCTTTGGTTCAGTATCCCTTTAAGGATTCACTCTCTGATTCCTAATGTAGAGCGGTGTATTTTATGGTGAATTCCGCTCGCAGATCTCGAGCTCTCCAAAAGCGCTCCATGTGGAGCGCGCATATTCAGCCCGCACATCTGGCTCGAGCTGGCCATCTTCCGCTCGTAGATATCTGGCAACGCCCGCTCCACGGAGCGCCCCAAACCCCGCCGAACTTGCTCTGCTGGATTTCACTGACTTTTCCGGAAGTTCACACAGCGGCCCACGTGATTTCCTTCTAAATCGGCACTGCGCATGCGCGATGAGGTTGGAGGCACTGTGGTTGGAGAGGTCGGCGGGCCGTGGGCGGGCCAGTCGGGCCGTCGGGCCACGGTCGGGTCGTCGAGTTGGATCTGTTCGGGTGTGTCGGTTGTTTACGCGAGATTGTGACGGCTCGAACGCTTCTACCTCGCATAGATCAGAGATACAAAGTCGGGACTCTGGAGCGTGGTAAATCGTAAGCGCTGACGTCTGTGATCGTGAGAGGAAGAACGAGAAAAAGAACGACAGAAAAGCCGGAGGCAGACGCAAGGTTAGGCCTGTTCATTCTGCAGCCAATGATTCTTTACCTTTTTACTCGGCACTCCGTCGGCGTTTTCCCGTGCAATAAATGAAGAAGAGATGAGGCAACAACCGTGCAAGTGATGGTTTGTTACCTCTGTGTTTATTGAAGTCGTACCAGAAATCTGTACTCCACGGCTCGTAATCGCTGTCCGTGCCCCGCCGCTT